ATATAGCTGCTTCCCTTACACCAGGATTTGAATCATTCAACATCTGTAGAATCTGTGATTCCAAAGAAATATAAAACATTTTTAGTTTTTTTCCTGCATTATTTGAACTGGGGAGAAAGAAAAATGTTTATTTTGTTCATAGAAATCAAGAAACTTACAGGAGGAAGTATAGCCCTCTGAAGTGGAAGTTCAGTTGCTGCAAAAAGTCCAATTGCTGCGGTGACAGTTCGTGCAAACTCTTCTCGAACTCTCCAGCTTTTGTGCGCCCAGGCATAAGATCCTGCTCTTTCAACAATGATAGTTGGAGAAGAAACCTGCAGCCAAAGAACATGAGATTTAAGCCCCTTTTATCTTTCAGTGGAACATTTATTTGGAAGCAAACCATGGTACATTTTGGGATAACAAAATCAGAAGTATACTAAAAAGGAATTATTAAAATGGTTGGCGTCTATTAGCTTTAATTAAAAGAACAGGATAACAATTTGACGATAGATCACAGGAACAGTTTCTCCTATCCTATTCCTACGTAATGAAAATGAAGGGTAACTAGCCAGTGTGCCCACCACACACATGCAGAGATGACTCACAGCAATACTAATTGCATTAAAATTAAAATTAAAAACCTTCTCTAAAATTATGCTTTGAAAAAAAAGCAGAAACTAGGGCCCAGCAGAATGTGCATGTCTCAAGTCATTGTAGTTTCAACTTTCAAGTTACAGACTGAAATAAAATGAGGTGTACTAAATATGTGTTGAGATATCAAGTTGTCAAATGATGAACTTGACTTCCATTATCCAACAACAAATCTAAGACGCACAGGTACCCAAACAGGTAAATACTTCTGTAATAATAACAACCCATCGTGTCCCTTCTTCATGCTCTTCTGAGAAATTTCAACTTCAAAAAAGGTTCAAGTATTTATACAGTACAGGTCACTAAGTCTGTTTTCCAAGTGCGCCCCAATAATTGAAAATCTGATATTATCCGGAAAGGGTTATCAGCAACCCAATTGGTCAGAATCCATGAGGCGAAGTCAAAAAAATCACAATATCACCAGTGAAAATTGAGGTGCATCTAAGCTAAGGCAACTAAAACCGTACAGAAAAACACCTCTAATAAAACTCTATTGGTCTCTAACTACATACGAAAATTCAGAAACTTTGGACAACAATTTCATGCAATTATCATCTTTTAGCATAAGTCTATAATTAGAAAATTCAACGATTTCGCCACGAGTCTATAATCGCAATACATTTGAAACAATTAGACAAAATGCAGAGGGCAAAAGCGGGAGAGAGTAAAAAAAAACCTCCATGAGAGTAAGCAGGAGTCTCCGAGCGGCGTCGCGAACAGGCTGTTTTCCATCGCCCAAACGCTCGACGACGGCGGGAACAAGCGCATTAAAGTGGAGCTTGAGGTGGTCGCCGGAAAGCACAGCAGCGGAGGCTAGGGCTTGCAGAGCGCCCTGAGAGACTCTGAAATTATTGTCCTTGAGAAGATCCATGCAGCAGTCGACAAGCGACGTCACCTCCGACGAACTCAGGCTCTTTCTCGACGCTTCCAGAAGCTGATGCAGGCGCTCCACTCCCGCCATGCGCTCCTTCGTGTCCTTGGCACGTGCGAGCTCCAGAGCTTCCTCCATCGGAGCAAGGTTAGGGTTCGCTAGGGGCGTGATCTGGTGCAGGCGGGCTCAGATCTGGTGGATTTGGTGTGGAATTAGGGCATAGGATAGAGGGAGTGATGAAGGAGAGAGATAAATGGCGTTTGGTGTTGATGGAGTTAGTGAGTGACTGAAAGTGAAATGTGGATAGAGAGAGAATGTGTGAGAGAGATTCAGAGGATGAGTGTGGCTAAATTCACAGGGTCTTCCCCCGCGTCTGAAGGTTGAAGAAAGATGTTGGTTTAGATTTTAGAGAGGGATAATTTTAGTGAGAGAAAGAGACACAGAGAGGGTAGTATGGCTTTTTGGCTAGATTGAAGGAGAAGATGAAGCACCTTGTGGTTGAGGGTAGCTTGAAACTTTACCCCTGTTTTCTGTTTAATTTACGGATTCTACCACTGTGTTCTTACTGTTAGTAGTTACTACAGTGAACTGTCACGTCTGTTTATTTAATTATTTTTCGTCTAAATTTAAATTATTAATCCTAATCGATAGGGTGACTTGGCCTCAATGTTCAGTTTATTCTTAATTTGGACTGTTAAATGAAGCGATTTTTTTATATGAATATTATGGTTTATATAGTTTATTATCTCCATAATTTTCTAATATTACAATGTGCCTTACAGCTCTAGTTGTATGGTATGTTCTTGTAATAAATAATCTCATACGTTACGTTGTTATGTTCTTTTAATAAATAATTTGATATTGTGTTGTCAATTTATCAAACGATACCGCATATTAAATCAGATTGATTAATGTATGGTTCTAATGACACAATTTATCAAATTTATATGTTATGTCATCAAATTGTCACTTAAGAAAATCATAACAATTTTCTTTAGAAAATAAAAATAATTTCCCAAATTTCACTGTCATTTAATCTGACTCTTGGGGTAGGCCAAACTCAATACCTAGATGTTAACACCAAGTATGATCTGGGGAAAGCAACACTCAGCGATGCTTTCTTGCAAAGTTTACAAGTACGAATGTCATTTTCTTTTGTGTTTTAATCAATTGCGAAACCACCAATTAGGGTTTTTCCAGCCACACATGCATGTTTGGTTTACCCAAATGTTAAAAAATTAGGTGAACAAACCAACCGACTTGTATAGTCTAGATGGTAAATTTTATTTGCATAAAAGCAATGTTAATTAAGTCACCTCCTAATGACAGTTATTAATGAATGAGTCTTTAAGTAACAAGTTCTAATGAGTAAGGAAAACTCATTAATTTAATTTTGATCGGTTAATGTTCTTAAACAAAAACTACAGTCATTCAATGGTTCAGAATATTTACCTCTTCTACACTAAAAGTCATGTGTTCGATTCTTCCATCTTTCAGTATCACGGTCGAAAATTCATCGGGCAGTTAACATTAGATTGGGCAATCTCAGAAAATGCAAGTACCTTTCCTCTTCAAAAGCATTGCTTGTTGTTCCTACCTGGCTCTCACATGGAGGACCATGGTCCCATATCTGGAATCTGAACACTCACGTGAGAGAAATAGACAACGCAACAGAAAATTCGAAGCCCAAAAAAAAGCTGCTATGTTAGAAAAAGGGAGCAATGTTTTTGTTCATGGACTAATAACAGAAAAGGAACAAGAACAGAAACGTTAGGGGGTAATGTTTGGTTATATTCTTAAATATGTTTCATCGTCTGAAGCTGCAATTCCATGCAAAGTTTGTCTGTACCATAATGGCATTGAGTGAGCTTATAATATATTTTGTTTGACAAGTACTGCGTTTATTAATGGCTGCCCAACGTTGGCATCCAGAAGACCAAACCTGAAATATTTTTCAATTGTGGAAATAATCAAACGAGCCATAATCTTCTTTGTTTTAAATTGCAGAATCCAGGCTGGGAAGATTTCTTCCACCACCACCACCTTACTTGAATTCATGTTCTTATAAAAGCATTTTGTTGGCATTATTGAATAAAATTACTACACCCCTAATCAGCAAAAATAATTTTGATAGCTGATCTAATGGTTTAAAGATCTTAACAAAATCCGTATTAACGAGATCGATAATGAAGAAAGGAGATTCAAACACATGATCTTGAATGTAATAGCAACTACTTGTAACCACTTAAGTTGCAAGTCATTTGCAAATCCGTATTAACTTATTATTACGTCATTTAGGTTGATAATATGGGACCCCATATTTTGGCTGCTTGAAGTCTCTCGAGGCCATGATAATGATGATGATGAGAGATCATGCGGCACAAAATTGATAATAAGTTTAACCAGAAATGAGTGACAAATTGTTTGTTCACGGGTCATTCAAAAGGTGCCATCATATGATATTTGTTAAATGAGAGAGAGAGAGAGAGAGATTAGGAAGGGGAAGGGGATAAGATTATAAAAGAGGATGATTAAAACGGCCCAAATAAGAAAAGCCTAACTTCATGACAAATCCTAGCCAACAACCTCTTCTGGACAGCACGAAATAAAAAGAATATCAAAGAAGAAAAAAAAGAAAAAAAAGTGGTCCACTTTCACCTTGCTTGCTTCACCATGTTAGGTTAGCCATACATGCTTAATAGTTTAACACTTTAATAATCAAAGTGGGGATGATGCCAATATGTTTATAAATAGTTTGGCCTTTACAGGTTGGCTTGGCTCATTAGGGTTGTTGGGTAAGATCAGCTTGGGGTCAATATTCAATACTATACTTAATAATGTTCTTCTTCATCAATTGGATGAGCAATTATCAACACTGTTGAATCTTGCAGATCTGCAACAATGGAGGAAAATATGAGTTTTTCTAAGGACAGCCGCCCACGGACCCATGTATATGAGTATGGGTCGCATAATGAGATCCAAACTAATATACGGCTGACAATCACCGACGCGCACTTGCTACTATTGCACCATACCCTTTAGTGCTAGGAGCAACAATTTGCTTGCTGTTGTGATGTTTCCTTTTGCATCTTAGTGCTAGTGACTGGCGGCAACAACAACTTACTCCTTTACGCGATGGATTCTTTCTTTAGCCATGGATGTGACTTCTACATGAATCGCAATAACCCCTTCAACCTTTTATATGGGAGGTCCAAACTTAAGCAGTTTATGCTAATACAATCACATCAACCTTGAAAACAAAATGGATAAATTTTACAACACATGAAACCATTTGGACAAGAACTCACAACTGAAGCCTAAAATTACTTGATATAGCTATCACAGCCAGAGAGGCAGGTAAATAATATACATAATCACATTAATCAGGCTAATACCTGCTTAGTTTTGTTTCACAGTGGAGAAACTTTGGCAACTTCAGTGGGTGATTGGCATAAGATAGTTGAATGAAAAATATATGTTATGAGAGCCATCCTGTTTACGGATCATCGTCATAGGGTGCATCTGGAGTTGGTGACGACGAAAGAATCAAAACGGGCCTTCCATTACATTGTATGTCGGCATGCATAGAAGCATAACCTGGTTGATAATCCCAAATATTTCCCCTTAAGTCCAGACGCTCAATATTTCCTAATCAATAAAGTTAGTTAAACTCGGTTTTATATTCAGACAAAGCAGCAGAACACAGACATATAAAATAATTTCAATTCCGATCCATTAACATCTCCCATGAATGCTCTAATTGTTTTATCAATATCAGCCATTGACCCAAAAAATGGAAAGATGGAGGGGGTTAAAGATAAAAGATTCAACTGAGATTTAACACGCAGTTAATCCGTGATAACCTAATATTTGGTGGCCCAAATTATTTACCAGTGACAAGGCAACTCGTGGCAGCACAAAAGTTAATGGACCAGATGCCATTAGCTACTTAGGAAAAATTGATACAGTTAATAAATACCTTTAGCAGCTTTAAGGGCCGAGCATATGGTGGTCAAGGATTTTAAAGGCATAAGATTATATGCAGCATCGACTGTAACGAGTTCTGGAGCCATTGATATGAGCTTTGACAAAAAGTTTGCAGTTCCAATTCCTCCACGATTTTTGCTACACATAATTTATTAATACGATAAATTTCCTGGCCATCAGCTATAAGCGTATATAAATAGATAATAAAAAAAGTAGAAGAAAAATATAAAGTTATTCTTTCACACCTTATGTTCACCTTGACTAGCTTCAATTCCTTAGTTATGCCATCTTGTAGTTCCTGAAAACCAGATGAACCCAATCCAATACCTTCAACATTGAGTATTTGAATTGATGTGGACAAAAGTTTTCCCAAAGCTGCTGCTACTTGGCTACACAATAGTGAGCTATCAACCCATTAAATATTGTGAAAAAACATAAATAAAGAAGTAAAACGTCTGAGCCAGTGCCATCCAGACAAACCTGCCAAGGTCATTATCAGCAACAGATAGAGACTTCAATGGTCTCTCTAGGGTTGAGAGGGTGTCTATGAGGTAAGTCACTCCATGACAGGAAAGCTCACAGTTCTCTAACATTAAATCAGCAAAGGGAAAGCATTTTTTGGAAGCTTCGACAAAATATGGAATTAAACTCCTGAGACATTTATGATACAGAATATTAGACTTTGAGCCTAAAATGCTCAATGCATACGTGGAGATTGAAAACAAAACCAACCTGATTCCATCATCCTCAATAGGATTATCACTCATATCTAGGACCTCCAAATTAGGTATATGAACGAGAGCGTATCTAAGACCATCTGCATCATCTTTGTTTAGATTATTTCCCCTATAAACAGAGAAGTAAAATTAAACCCCTCATATTTGTTTTCTTTTCAACATAGGATCTGTGTAGCAGCATGGAATACAACTTATACAACCACTGACATCAGGCTCATGAACGGGGTAATTGATGAAAAGTACCTTGCGGAGTTCACTAATCTATTTTACAACTGCCATTTTTCTTGTTGAGGAATAGAAAATTGCACAGAAGGCAAAAGTAACTATGAAATCATACCTTAAATTGAGCACTCGTAATGATTGGAAGGACTTTCCAATTCCCAAAGGTGTTGGGGGCCCACTTGGTGATCTCCAATAGAGTTCAGAAAGCCAGCCTGATATCTAAAAGATTTTGTATAAAGTTTCATGTTAGTCGTACAGGATAATTTTAAAAATAGTAAAAACTAATTTTGTTAAAGGAATTGCGTCACTCACATTGTTATCTGAAAGATCAAGGATGGATAGACTAGACGAAGCATTGAGAAGAGTACCAAAAACCAATTTTGCAAAATTGCGGCCAAGGTGGTTCTCAGAGAGTTTTAAAGAATATAAGGACCTGACAGCAAAATAAGACAGATTTCAGAAGCACAAAAATGCCATTGGAATAATTATTTTTTAATAAAGATGCAATGGGTCGTGTTCGGGTGACCCATATATATATTAGTGTCAACCCACGGGTTGGTCAACACGCAAAGCGATGCAAAAAATAATAAAATAATAAAACAATAACTCATACTATTCATCACAAAAATGAGAAAGTTAACATTTCACTAATATAATATTAGTTGAACAGTGCTGAGGTGTTCGGGTTGTGTCATGGTGTCGTGTCACACATTGCCACCCCTAGATGCAAGGAATGGCCACAGATATACAATTGAAAAAAGACGAAAAAAATATACTTTACAGTAAAACACATGCATAAAGAATTCTATCTTCTTGTGGTTGTAAATGGCTGAGAGTCTATTGTAGAAGTAATTAACCTAGTTTTGTCTGTTCCTCTGTCAATGCTTTGGTTCAACAAGCTTTTAAGTGCTACTAGAAACTTATGCGAAGTGCACTAAATAAAAGTTTGAAAACCAAGCATTAAAAGGGCCTCAGTCAACAAAATTTAATTCTCCAAAGCTAAAATCCTGAAAGGAACATCATAAAGTGAAGATATATTAAAACAAACAAGCCTCCAAAGACCAGCTATGCAACTTGATATTTACATATCAAGCACACAACATGATATTTACATATCAAGCATGCAACACGATATTTACTTTCAACGTTTGTGAGCTTTTGTGCAGACAGTTCAACCAATCAACAAATGGATGGATTTGAATGATGCCTGAGATTGGAAAAGCAAACATACCTTCCTGATGTCAAAAATGACACAAGTCCGAGAGGTAAGGAAACAGGGTTTGTTTCAAGAAAGTTTGATGTGTTGATTGAGAAGTTTTTTATCCCATGTGTTTGCACATTCTTTGTGGGCAGGGAACTACAAATTGCATTGATAGAATCTGAAGAAAGCTTGCAGTGAATGAACTCAAGTGATGTTAAACTTTCACTGTTCTGGTTCAGAAGTTTGCATAGTCCATCAATCTGTAGAAATGCATATAGGATCAGGCATTTGATTAAATCATAACTCAGGCAGTTGAAAGGAAGCATTTAACATACACATCAATCTCTGATCTCTATATAATTTCTTCAGTATGGGAGGTGACTACTAGCTACAAAATATAATGTGGAGGAGGTACATGAGGACCACATGAAAATGAAGATTTCTGTTTTACTTTGTAATTTGGTATAGCATGTACAGCATGAGGGCAGTATCTTTCTATGCATTTAACAGATGGCTATTTTTAAACTATGAGTGGGTGCCCACTAAACCATCATCCCACCCACTCACAGAAAATTTGAGACGAGAAAAAGGCACTTAAAAGAAACAGCTTAGGCTGCCTACACAATTTTCAGAGTGGTCGCTATTTTTATCGGGGAGTAGTCAGTTCTTGAGAAAGATATTTATTCCATCTTAGCAACATTCAAAGAAAAATGAACTGAGCTTACATGCTCCTTGGATCTGATCCACCTTAGTTCCAAGCTCTGCAATAGGCTGTTCCTCAATAAATGCTGCAACAGATTAGTATTACACTAATGCAAAGTGACTTGCACGTAAAGCAATTGAGGCCATTAAGTTACAAGCATGCACATAGAACAGGTATATTGTTCAACTCAACAAATCTTCCTTTCCAACTAAGTGTGATCAACTACATGGTTGAGCAAGTTATTCCTCACAACTTCACTGATGTCTTTTTATTGTGTGTCTTTGTTGGGGGAAGGGGTGCTCCATTTTGAGACAAACACACAAATTACACACAAACATTCTGATCCTCTAGCAACTGTCTAATCAATCAAGCATGAAAAACATGACATTGACCACAGAGATGGGTTTTACCAAACAGATTATGCATAGCATGCCTCATAAAGCTTTCACAACAGACTCACAGCACCTATAATAGATGATTAAGACTTTTATATTTAGGAGAATTAGTTGAACCCGTTCTTTCTCAGATGTTAATACTTAATATACAAAGTGTTTTCCACATGTCAATGGCATCTCAACATGAGAAGAATAACTCACAGAAATTTCTGCACTACAAAGAACATTTTGAAGTCTCAGGCATCTGCATAGATATAAGAACACAATGTGATAAGATAATTTTTCATACAGGAAAAAGGAAAGAAAGAAGTGTACATAGGCAAAGGGACAAGCAATTAAAATTTGACTGTGCAACCAGCCCTCCAGTCTCAGAAGGACATAGGACCATGCTCTCATAACATACTTTCTTACCTGGCATAATAACCAAATTGTTGGCAATGGTGATAAAGTTTGGAATAATCACAAGTTGACGTATCCATGCAACCCTCAAAGCCTATCAATTTCAATACAGAGTCTGCACAAAATAAAATAAAAATATGATAAGATAGACCACTTACAGGATTAGCAAGACCATCAGTGAATGCAAATGGACACCTTTTCTATAAATCAAATCAAATGGAAACTAACAAACTTGCTAAATTCACTTTAAAATTAGAAAGTTTCTAATGCAACGTAGCTAAACGAAAATTTTCCAGTGGTAATTAACAAAGCACATATATACAAATGTACTTCACTCCAGATAAACAGGAATTTAATAAAAATCAAGCAACCCAGTAGCAAGTACCTGAAATCCCGATTTCACCAAGGCGCCCATCAAATGAGGGAAGCGAAGCTATCTCTGCCACTTCATCTAAGCACCTGTTGTTTGTTTGTGGTATCATACAAGAAAAACGGCAAATCATTCATGAACAGAAAATCGAATCTCTATTCTTTCATTGAGAAGCAAAGAAAAAGGCATACTTTTGAAGATGCGTTCCCCAATACATCTGTTGCCAGTCAATTGGTTCAATCTGATTGCCAAGATTAGGCCACCGCGACTTAACTAAATTTTTCCATGCCGTACTGAAATTCCAACTCCTGCAACAAAATGTAAGCATTTGCAGGTTAAATTCCTTTCTACAGTCAACCAAACAAAAACAATATAACAATACCCACAAAAAAACTTAATTATTCCAGACCTTCCACGCTTTCTACCATTTCTAAGGCCTTCATCGGCGAAATCATGGTCATCTCGATCGTCAAAAGGCCTGCTTGACGAAGAAACCGGATGATAATCCAAAAAAAGTTAGAAATTTAGAGAAATTAGAATTGTTGTAAGCTTTTGATTAGGTTCCGACGTACACTGCGGTCTGCAACTTTTCTAAAGCCAATGGAGGCAATCTCGAAGCTAGAATATCGACCAAGTTCCATGGAAGCTCCTTGATAATCGGTAAAAGATCATCGCCTGCAAACCAGCTCGAAATTAACCGTATTTTTTCTGAAGTAAATGCAGGTTTTGTATAAATCATGCGAAGCGTGAGCTTCAGAAACGTACCGCGAACCAGCTCGTTTTTTACTGCCTCTATGCACAAGGAGACCAGAGATGGAATTTCACTTTCGCTCATGCTTCAGAGAAATCAATCTGAATCTGCACTTTAGTTGGAAAAATCCAATAATTTTCTGAGAGGATCAAACTTATTGTCGTTATGAATGAATTGGAATTGCAGATTATAGGACTCGCCGGGAAGCTTTCAAAAGATAAGCACGGTAAGTAGAAGAAGAAGAAGCTTTGGACTGGGTCGGGTGGGGTTGGAGATAGAGAAATGAGTCAAGCAAGAGCTGCAAGACGAAGGGATGGGACGACGACGTAGCTTCAGCAGAGTGAAGAAGAGACGATGTAAACGACAAGTCGTCTCCAAATGCGAAGCGGTGCGCAATAAGTCTTCATATAATCTCAGCAAAGATATGAGTGCTTTTATCCACAATTTGGTTCAATCGCGAAATCATAAAGTTTCATACGAATGGATTATAATATGCAAGCCCAATTAAAATATATTTGAATAGTTTAAAGGTACAGCCGCGCGGCTGTACTATTAACATATATTATAATATTTGAGAGGCTATACTCTTTAAAATATACGAATATTTTAAAGGTATAGCCGCGCGGCTATAATGTTTAAATATACTGCACGACATGTTTTCTATTTTTTTAATTAAATAATATCTAAGCCTTTTCTAATTACTTTAATTAGTAAATTATTTTTTAGTGAAAAATTAGTATTTAAATATTCTACTAATTTCATAAATTACTTAATAGATAGTAATTAATTATTTAAAATTATTTTGTGTACCTTTTTTCTTTATACAAAATTATTTGTTTGGTTTAATATTTTCAATTAAGTAATATCTTAACCTTATTTAATTATATTATTTATTATTTGTGTGTTTAATTATTCTTTATTTAATGAATAATTATTTATTTTAATTAATTTCATAAATTACTTAATAAATGCTAATTAATTATATTTACTTATCTTAAATAATTTTGTGGACTTCAAAATTATTCTGTGATAACCAAGTTGCTATGCATATTGTAGTTGACTGTCACTTTGTTTTAGTGAAAATGTTCAATCAAATGTCATTCAAATGGTGCTTGTCCTCATCTCAGTTTCAAGAGTTTCTCTCCAAGCTTGGCTCCATTAACATTTTCGCATCAGCTTGAGGAGGAGTATTAGAATATGTACAGAGTTATTCCCTTCATTTATTGTTATGTTGGCTGAGTGGAGTTAGTTGTCTTGGGCTCTTCATGAGTGTAGCTTGGTATATGATGTGTGCATAGTTAGCTATTGTATGAGTGCTCTTTATGCACCAGAGAAGCTAATTCTCTGTTTATGATGAATAAGAGTTTCTTCCTTTCTTCTTTCGTGGATGTAGACAAACTAAGCTGAACCACGTTAAACACTGGGTTTCTTTTTACTTCTTTCCTTTAATTTCTACACAAATCTTTCTCAAGCCTCAAATCCTAATCACAAGACTACTATGGGACACTTATGACTTTATTAGACTTGGATACTCACATAACTCAACCTAGGATTTTACGATTGGAGTTTTGTTGCTTCATTTTTTTAAAATGTTTTTACTCCAATTTCTTCTTTATATGTCAAGAGCACAAAAATGAATATAAAAAAACTCCATTAGAGGCCAATCATTTTAACAAAAAAATATATGCACTCATTGTCCATGTCACTGTCGGAGAATAACATGGTTATAATAACTGGACCAGCTTGTTTTTATTTTGAGTCGTTGGACCATTTTGTCTTCGTGCCATCCTATTTGTCCTTATATTATAAAACCCCATTCTTAAATGGGGTAGAATAATTTTCACTAAATAGAGCGTATTTCTCAAAAATAAAACAAATTTTATTTATTTATTTTTATATATAAACTTGGTTCAAATAAAATTGAATTGTTTGCCAAGCTCTAAAATAATGCATAAAACTCCGTGCAATTGATTAAGCTCTTACATATTAAGTCTCATGTCAATTAATTTGACAGAGCCAAAACGAGCTATTACATAATCAACGGCAGATAACTATAGAAGATAGAAAGCTTAATTAAATACCAAGCACGTAATTAACAGCCTAATTGGAAATAATTAGGTCCTGGAGTCCAAGGCCATTATGGTGCTTAGGTTCATTGGGTTCATGTACTTGGTAGACCCAGTCATAATTTGCTTCACAATTAGCCTGGTTGCTTTCTCAGTTGGATGAAAAGCATCCCAGAAGGCATACAGATTCCGATTTGGGCACAAGTTTGACGTCGGATTGCACTGTCCCATCCCATTGTAGGGTCCTTGGCCACAACATGCCACCTTTGCTGTCACAAAACCTGCATGAAAAATGCAGATGTGGGTTAAGTCGGTTGGTGAGTCCATCTCATTACACTCAAGTTTGGATTTATCTTTCGATACATTAGTTTAATTTAGAATCATTTATAATATGGTTTGTATTTTAAAAAAAACAGTATGAAAATTAATTATTCGATTAATGAAACAAATTAAATTAATTTCAAAGGCTAATGATTAATTAAATAGAAGATTAGTTTTAAGGGCCTTGAGGACAAACCAAATTTCTGGGGGTTGGAGATGAAGTCCGCTTTCATGTCGAAGGCATTAGCAGTGACAAAAACATCTGAACCAAGTTGTTTGTTGAGTCCTTGAAGCATCTGGACCAGCTGTGGGTTGAAGATCGCTGCTGCCCCTTGTAATTCTGGATTGCACTCACCGTTTATGCTTCTGCTCTGGGCCAGCTCAGATGGAACACAACCCAATGGCCCGGTACCGGTCACCAACACTCTTCGGGCTCCTAATTCGTATAGATTCTGCAAACAATTAGATTAGCGCACAAATTAGATTCCAAGATATGCGATGGTCACTCACGCAAACTGTTGATGTACATTGAGCCCACAATGAATCAACATATAGATTTTGCCATGTGGCACATAGTACGAGGGATGGCATGACACTGACTCGTATACGAATTGGCGATTCTTGGCCATTGACGTATGCATGTCACAATGTATCAACGGTCAAATTTCACTTGTACGTGTGAGGGCTAATATTAGTAAAATTCATAAATTTTAAATATTTTACCATGAGAATTTTGCGGAACTCAGTGATAAGGTAACGAGAGAATTCGGGAACGGAATATTGGCGTGACCTTTGGGAGATAGGTGCCAAGAAATAGTTGTTAACAAAGTCATTGCCACCAAGCGTCATGAGGTAAAGTGCGCCATTCACTAGCCTTGTTGCCTGTGGTGCTCCGACAAGCGCCGTGAGCCGTTGTTGGTATTGTTGGAAAAGTTCAAACTGCCTATAGATCCTTATTACGGTAATCTGCAGGATTAAATAAACTAATTATTCAATTAGGTTTTTCATTTAAGGGTTAATTAGGGTTTTTAATAAAATTTATGGTACCAGAAAGTACTAATTAGGCAACGTGGCGTGATAACGTTCATGTGTTAAAAAGCAGAATTTGGACTTACAAATTGAATCCCAGTATCATTGAGGATTCCGATTCCTGCAGAAGCAAAATTTGCTCCAATAAGCAGCTTTTGTCCTGTGAGCTCAGGGCTCAAATATGGGAGCACGCGTTCAGATCCTATTTCCTCACCTATGTATACATACATTCATACATGTCACATAATTATGAGGGATATTATATAGTAATAAAATTAAACTAGTTAGCTAGCTAATTAAGATGGTGATGGTGGATGGTGATAATACTGATAATGTCGGGGAGGTTTAAGCCGTTCGAGAAGCGGCCGGTGGGCTGGTGGGTAGGGAAATCGATGCCATAGGGAGGAGAGTCGGCACGGGCGGTGGTTGCTAGGTAGTTGTTGTTGCCACTGTCGACCAGTGAGTCCCCAAAGACAAAGAAAGCACGAGCTGCCTCGGCTTGAGGTGCAAGCTCTAAAACTGCTCCCATTGCTACAATGAGAATTAGGACCCTCATGCTGCTAGAAGTTGACATGAAAACTAATGCAGGCATTTGCTCTCTTTGGCTTTACTTATCTTTCTTCAGTTGAGAGTTGTAGTTTTATAGAGTTCCTGTTGTGACTTGGGAGAGCTTTTCAGGTAGGTAGCACAATGAGAAGAGGCAAAAGCTGATGAAGAGAAAACAAGTCAAATCAGATGATAAATATGAAAGAGATCGATCGAGGTTTGAGATGCATTATGCATGAAATCATCAAAATAAAAACAGAAACTTGTGTTCTTTTGTGAGGGGAAAAGCAGTAATTAACATGAATTTTAACGCAAAATAAGGTATAATTAGAGGCTGAGAAAGGTGGGAATAAGTCGTTTTCATTAATTTTAATATGACAACGTAATTGTCACACTTATTCTTGTTCTGTTGTTGGTTTGGAATTGTAGATCACTCACTTAGCTTAGACTGCTAGCTAGCCACCCAGCTTGGTCAATAATTAATTAAATATCCATGCAGCTGGGCGCCATGTGAAAAACATAAATGGGTTGGCTTGGAGTAGCTGAAATCTGTCTAACTCAATCTCTCTCTCTCTCTCTCTCTCTCTCTCTCTCTCTCTCTCTCTGCAGAGAGTTGGGGAGCTAGGGTTCTGTTTATTTGCAAGAACGAGTCAACAAAGCAAGCAATATATATCTATAGACAGCATTTCAATGTATACATATGATGAAACATTCTATACTATTTTCTCGTTAATTCATCTGTGATTGTCAGATAATCATTAATTAATGTGAAGTACGTTTATAATAACATCGTGATTACTGATTCACATTCCGCCATAATATCGTAGTTATCTAGTAATTGATGTTGTTAATGCAAGTATACAACATAATGTATATATATATATATATATATATATATTAAAACATGGAGTGATGAGTTATTGTAGAACCAAACAAACCGGCTAATTAATAACATAAAACCATGTTTTCTTTTCTTATCGACTGTCAAAAGGTACATACACTGCAACAAACTAGCACAAGAACATTCATGCTCAGCCTCATATTATATATTATCATTTATTTATTTTTTTGTTCTGTTTTTTTTTTTTTTTTTTTTTTTTTTTTTTTTTTTTTATTTCTTGATTTTTTATAGTCAAACAAAGGCCACTGGTTAAGTGTTCGGCCACGTTAATCCCAACTTATTTTCAGGCCATTAAATTCCTCTGTCGACAAATTCTTCATTGCCACCGGAAAGAAGATCTGACTAAACCAAATCTGATCCGAAGTAATTTGACAAGATGTTTTTCAATTGTGGAAAATTTATTTATTTTTTATTTATAAAAAAAGCCACCAATAACTTTTGGAGTTATGGCCCCAGTCCAGGTTTTTAAAAAAATTATTTATAAAGAAAAGAGAGATTCAGCCCAGCACAAACGTATGAGAATTTCAGCCAAGTTTAATGAGCCCAATTCTAAAGAAACCAATGACTTCTATTATTTCTTGTTCACACTTGTCTAATTTAATATTTTCTCTCATGATATTTATGCTAACACACTCTAATAGCATGAAGAATGTTGAGATTCCACTTCAAAATCAATTGGCAATGGGAGGAGTAGTTCAACTTCTTATAAGCTCTTGCTAGGTTTCTCAACTTTCCAATGTGAAACTTTTTACCTTCACATTCTCATAGTTTATTGTACAAAAAGTTGCCTTTGATGTATTTATAAGGTCAGGTGGATGTTACTTCCCCATATTCAAAAATTAAATTCAAATTTGTACTCAAACTCCATTTAAATTTTTATTGAGAAGAAGATTCGTATTTGTGATATTAACCTTTTCTTTAATATTAAAAGATGGTCAAGTTTTATTTCTTTTACTAAATACTAAATATATCTTGTAAAGTTATTAATATACGTGTGTGAATGATTGTCAACCGTGACTGTTCCGGGGAAGCGAAGACACAAACACGTTCTGGTAGCTGGTGAATTTCAGAAGCACATTACAGTTGGTACATTTCTACAACACATTTTGAAAGTCGGTGAATTTTTTAGGTTTAGGGCCTTTTTTGAAGGCCCTGAACTCAAAATCCCTTGTCAAAAATCAGTTACGGCACGGGAAAGGAAAAACAGAAAAAAAAAAAAAAAAAAAAAAAAAAAAAAACAACCAAACAAAAAAAACGCGAAGGAAAGCACCCAATTTGCCACAATCTCCACCTCCCACTGAGCGCGCGCCATAGCTGATTAGGGTTAGGGTTTTCAGCTCTAAATTCATCTCCTCCAGAGAGCCAAGAATGCGTCGTCCCACGTGCTGCCACATATCCCTAGCTTTCGTGCTCAAATTCCTCAACTTTCTTCAAGCTTTCATCGGAGTTTCAATCTTAGTCTACTCGGCATGGATGCTCAACCAGTGGAACAATCACATTCCGGTTGTCCCACAACCTTCGGCTCCTTCGCCAGACTCTTCGTCTTTCTCCTCCCTCTTGTTGAGCTCCGAAACGGCCAAGACTTCTGATCAGATCACCCCTTTGAATTTTGCTGTCCATTTGGTCTCTGGGTTCGATGAGGGATTGGGATTGAATTCATTGAAGCTTCCCGCGCCTTGGTAATTTCAAATTTCCTAACTTTATTTATATATATACAACTCTGTGTCATGTTTGATTTTGGATCGAGTTCGGTTTTTTGTTTTTTGTTTTTTTTTTGGTTCTTTGAGCTGGGTACCTGAAGGAAGTTGCTTTCAGGGTTTTGATTTTGATTCAGTAATTATGAGTTTGGGGATTCTTTTGGGCCGTGGGCAGGGGTCTTGAATTTTCGTTGATTAGATAACATTAAATGCTCATGTATCACGTTTGGTTGAAGACAAGTTTCTAGAGGGACTCCTCAGATTGTTATTCATTTGATGCTTTTCTTGATGGCAGGTTTATCTACACTTTTATGGGATTGGGCGTTTTGATCTGTTGCATTACTTTCATAGGTTGTATTGCAGCTGAATCAATTAACGGCTGCTGCCTGTGTTTTGTATCCTTAGCCTATACATTTTGCACTATTTTCAGCTGAGAAACTATTCTGCTTTCTTTACTATAACTTTTAAAGTCTTTGATTAATCTTTCTAGACCCTTGAAATGACAAGTTCATAATTTGTGAATGCTCAGTTTGGTTGCTTATTAGAAGTATTAAGCTAACAAAAGGAAGAAACTAGAGTAATAGTGTTCATTTTACAAGTCCCCTGAAAACAAAAGGCTTCAGCTTAACTTTGTCATTCCCCCATTTTCTTTGGTTGGAAAAATTTTGTATCTTAGAAACTAGATGACTAGTTTCCACTGCGTATACTGGGGTCCAGTCAAAGTAGTGGGGGATTTGAATATACTTCATAATAAGAAGCTTTACCACAAGCACTAAACTAAATGGTTTTGAGGCATTGAACTTGACGTAAAGTTTCACAACAATTTTTTATATGCCGTGCAAGTTGAGTTGAATGAACGTGATTTTCAATCCACAGTTTCTGCATTACATTCTGTGCCCTATCTTTTTCTTAACTGTTCAAACATTTCAGTACACAATACTTATAACAGTACTCACTCTACTAGAAGCAGCTTTGGTGGCATTCATTGCAATTGATCATCGTTGGGAAAAGGTGCTTTTCTATAAAGAAAAATAAACTCAGTTATATGTGTGCGTGGGATTTCATCCTTCGGTTTAGCCAATCAAAGTAATATGTTTCTTTATACCTTTACAGGATCTTCCATTTGACCCAACTGGTGAACTTGACAGTCTTCGATCTTTTGTCCAAGATAATATTGACATCTGCAGGTGGGCTGGGCTCACTGTCATCATATTACAGGTATCCTGTAGCCCATTATAGTGATAATGTTTATTGTTCTCTTTATAATTGCATAGGATTAAGATCAATTTCCCTCTTCCATTTACATAATATCTTCAAAATTTGGACCTTTAGATGAGAGCACATTGAATGGCCTAAGACTGATTACCTTTGGTGACAGCTTTTCAACAGTTTCTCAAAAATATTCTCCCATATGTCATATGTCATAGCTTACAAATTGTGTCTAATTGACTTGAACCAATTACATAACCTCCTAATTGTATGTGATTTAGAGATGCTTTAGAGTTATGTTTCATCAGTGAAGATGACTATTGCGAATAACTTTTTCCAGTGCAGATGTCCAATTTTTGCTTTCCAGGATCTGTTTAATTTTGTTTTTTGTTCAAAAAGTACGGACTGCATTTAGCATTTCTATCGATGTTTATGGAATCTGGTGATTGTGTTCTTATACTCATCTTTCTTGAAACATCAGGCTTTATCTCTACTACTAGCAATGGTTCTGCGAGGCATGGTTTCTACTTGCAAAGCTGACTATGACGTTGAAGATGATTATGATTTTAGGGGTAGAACTAGGGAGCCATTGTTAAATAACCAGTTAAGCCAAGCGTCTGGATCAACCAAGGGTGATGGGAGAGGGACTCATTCTGACATTTGGAGCTCACGGATAAGAGATAAGGTATTTTGTTTGAAGATTGCCATAATCTACAAAGTTTATACTTTGATCCCAATTTAACAGTATTCAATCTTGATTTTCATATCTTGTCAATATGAATGTCATTTTCTTCCCTAATCACAGCGTTCTTGTACTTTGTGCAGTATGGGTTGAACGCTGTGAATCAGAATGCATCAGCAAGTTCGAAATCCAAGCAGTGAAGTTAGTTGAAGGTTTTCCATCGCACAGATCAGGAAAATCGATTGGCAACTGCCTCTAATTTCCATTGATACTAAAATGTATATCAATTTTCCTTTGCTTCAATCCTTTTCTCTTCTCTTTTTTAAATGTTGTGTTGGAGACAAAGTTGGGGTGTATGTATGTATATAACTCTTCAAAAGTGTGGTTGCTTGTTGCCAGCTTTTGCCTTGTATCAACTGAGCATGTTTCTGGTAAGATGCTAATGTTATTAATTGTAAAAGTAAAAAGCTTGTGATTCATATACATTCGTGAGTACTAAGACAAAACAAAACAAGAAAAACATGACATTTATACTGTGCTTGCCATTGTAGGTGATAGATTCTCTTTGTCGTCCCTTTCATTTTCATTTTTTCCCGTGAGCCTGTGGATTCGTTCAGCTGTCAAGAAGTGCATGCCGATAAGATTATAGTGTTATTATTTGATTCACGAGATATCTTTCGCCTGTCCTCACTATAACTATTACTACTACTTTTCCAGTACCAGTACCATGTGGTCACCATTCTTCTTATTTTTCATTCCTAATTAAGAAATGCCACCAAGTTCTTTGATTCTTTTTTCTATTATTTTTTTCACTATATGATTGGTTGGAATTTGGAAAGGTAACACAGAAAAAGTGGACTTCAATGATCATATGACTATGTGGAGGATGATTTGGTTCTTAGTTTCAAAATAACCTGCAATTCTCTCTCTTTTCCTCTCTCATACCAAAATCTTTGTCCCTTTCATCGTGCCTTTTAGTAGAAGAAGAACTTACATGTAACGGAGCACTAACTCTGTGGACCACGGCTGGCCTCAACAAACTTATTATTGCACTTTGATTTCTGACTTGTGAGGAATGTACATCATTTGTCTGCCAGCTATAGATGTTCCTTCCTAATTTACCTATCCGATACATGACATGTTCTGTTGGTAATCATTTGTCTGGTCACAATCTGAAATGTGCATATAGAAATTGAACCATTTTCCCTTAAGGGCTCAGTTGAAATATTTTCTATGTTTAACCAACACAACATTAAATTAAAGCCACAGAGAAGAAAATTTGGTTGGTCTTAAAACAAGTTCCAACCACACTAAGACAAATTTGATCACATATTATTATTTCATTATTTCATTATTTAATTTGGGAGGTCGCCAATGCTTTATTTTGAAGCATACAGAATTGCACCGACCGACAATGGGGTAAAATAAGTGGTGTATTTTACCCTTTTACCCTCATGCACGTTAACTATAAATTATAGAGCCGAAAGGAGAATCTTGCCATAAAATATTTAAACCATGTAATATGACAACAAAATCATAGCCTTACCACCTCTTAGTCAATCAAGTTCGAATCCCTTGTTATCATAATTGTGTTTGTGAAAAACCCCATTTCTTTATAGTTTAAACTATCGCTTGTACTTTAAATAAAATAGCGATGTCACCTCTACACCGAAAGTTGTACGTAATTTTGAAGCAACAAATTAACACAGAAGTCCTGCAATTCTTCTCAATTTGTATTTAAGTACACTTACAAACAACGAGAGAGATTTGAACGTGCGACAAAAGTCAGCGGCCAAATAATATTGTACACTTGTATATAAACAGATTGGTCACAAATTATGAAATAATGATTAACTGAAACATCTGTTGCATTAAACAATTAAAGGTGGGTTAGGGCCACCACCATTGTTGAAAATCAAATACACAAAATAATAGAGCGAGAGAGAGAGTTACAGTAAAATTTAAAATGGAAAAATGAATCAAAAGTTTGGTCATGTCCTCTCTGTCAAATCAACCACAGCCTCCTCCACGAGCTCTTCCAGCAATTTCCCTTCTATTTCCTTCCCTAAATTATCAATTTCCAATCTCATATGTTCAGACCACCCATTCCCCACAACCTCCTTCCTCACCACCCTCTCCACCACCAGGCTGTTGCTGTCCCCCCCCTCCCCTGAAGCACACCTCACCTCACTGGCAAACCATTCCCTCACTCGGCCCCACACACGGTCTGCCAATAGGGAAGAATCATCCTCTGAAAACCTGTCGTGGGCCCCACTACATGACATGGTTCTTGTGCTGCTGTCTGACCCATAACCAGTGATGTCCACCAAGGCTGCATTAACACAATCGAATACAAGCTTCCGGCTTGATCGCCATTGCCTTCTCTTAGCCTCATGCAGAGGCTCTTTGTCATTTATGTTGGCATACTTGTCTCTGAGAGATGGATCCAAAGGACTTTCGAGCGAATGCCATCTAGTGAAAAACGAGTCACACTGCACCTCACCATCTAGGCCAGCTGCTGATAAAAGAGTCTGGACAATGGCATGCCAGTCTTGTTCTTCTTCCTCGGTGGAAACTGAAGGGGATTTTAATAGATATGGTGTCGCAGTCTCTGCACAAGAATCATCCCATGAGAGTGTCCGGGAAATTGATCCTATAGGTGGTGATTTGTCAATCAAGTTAGACTTGAGATGTCTTCCTGTTATTAACACACAAAAATCGTAAAATAAGAAAATGATTAAGGGAATTAACAAAAAGCCATAGAAAAATAGAGAGAGAGGGGGGAGAGATACCTAGGTGGTCTGGCTTCAAATACAAAGAGGACTCCTGAATTATATTGTCATCCTCTTCGAATGGTGGTTCTAGAACTGATATTGGACTTGGCTGATCAGGATTCTCAACAACATTTCCAGGCACCACAGGCCTTGTCACACACAACCCTGCCTGCAAAATTTGGAAAATAGAAAACAAATCAAATAAACCATTCATTAATGATAACTTAAATCCATGCAGTTGACAGTGTTCATGACAATAAGACACCGATTAGCTCAGGTTTTAAGAACAATGATTATCTACAATGCATGCATTTTGCTCCATATAGCAAGAACAATCGTTTTATGGTTTTTCCATATCACTCATTCCATTGTGCCAAGTATAACACATTTTTTGTTACCAAAATCACAAATATAGACATCTACATTCCAAATTTTATTGCTTAAAGGTTGCTGCAGATACAGGTCAAACAAAATACATCCTACGAAACTAAGTTTCTCTTCTGATTTTTTTATTTATTTTTATTTTTGTTTTTTAGGGCAAGTTAGAATTAATAAAGAGAGAAAGCATTAATATCAGACAAAGAAGAAAACTGAACTACCTTCGGTGGAACTGTGCCTTGTCTTTGTCCCATATTTGTTACATCTGGAGATTCTTTTCCAGAATATCCAAATAAAGCAGGAGACAAACACCCTTCAAGGCCACCATCATTAGCACACTGAGATGCATCATCACTAATTATACCAGGAGGAACCAGAGAATTTGGTGGTTCAGCAAGGGCAGATTCATTTTCATTGTTACATCGAGATACATCAGATTTCCCTTTATTTGATTTCTTATTTCTGGAGAAAAATAAACTTGAGACTTTCCCTTTAAACGATGACTTCATGCTCTTTGCCTTAGTTAGCTCTTTAGGAACATCTGTCTTGCCAGCCTCGGGATCTGAAACTTGAACATTGACCCTGGCACCATATACTGTAGAAGATACAGGGACAGATTTTGACCTCAAAAGATTTCTGGGGGAATCATCCACAGCTTCTTCTTTACTAGAACCATTAATTAAGCATGAAACTGATTCCCTTGGTTCTTGCTCCTTCTGACTGCTCTCATCCTCACATCTTGCTGGCTTCTTTATCTCTGAAAGAGCAAGCATCTCACCCAATGTACTAGAGCTCCTCCGGGCATGTCTTTGTTCCTGAGGATTCCCATTTAATGCCATCATAGCCCATCTTTCAGAAAGTCGCTTCTTCGCCTCTCTACAAACAGATGACTCTGGAGAACATGACACACGGCTGAAGGAGGATGAAGAAAAAGGGCTGCCAAACCTGTTAATGTAATCCCATGAATGCCTAGAAGATGGTGACATAGCTTCTGAATCACTGAGATTTCCATTTGCATAATCATTTTCTGATTTGTTAAATGAACTCTCATCACCGGTATAACCATTGGAAAAGACGGAGGAAATCAAAGTTTCATCCCTCCGATGACCCATCAAATTATCACGCATCTTCTGTGTGATCTCCTTTGCAACTTCTCTTGATTCTCGCTCCTCATCATCTTCATGTTCCTCATAGAAGTTTTCACTGTGTAATATTGTTGGTGATGAGGTAGGTGAAGAAACCACAGCCTTAACATCAGGAGTCTTCCCAGGGCTAGGCCTCAATACCACTATCCGAGTTGGTTGAACAGGATAGTCATCAACTTTCTGATCAGAAATTGGAGAGTATCCATGGTGGCTTTTGTCCCATGCAGCTGCTTGACTGACCTGAGCTGATTTCTTTGTGGGTTCATCGCTCTTGCCCCCTGATCCTGATAATTTGTCATTAGAAACCATCTTTGAAGGTCTGAGAACAGTGATCCGCTTTGTCTCAGTAGGTTGAGAAGGAATAGATTGTAATTCATTTAGATGCTGAGAAAACAAGGAATTAGGTTCTTGCAGAAACTTGAGGAACAAATCTCTATTGGAACTTAATACTTCAAGGGCATCTTGGAATTCCTTGGATTGGCGAAGCCTCTCATCCGTGGCCAAGCGTTTTGCTTCCATGAACTTCTGACGAACAAGAGCCATCTTCTTCTCATTAACTTCTTCATTACACCTTCCCTTCTGCGGTGATTTATTTCTTCCATAATTTGCTTTCTGAGGTTGCTGCCAGACTTCATAAACATCTTTGTAATCATTCTGCTTTGAACACTGATGAAATTCACGCAGCATTCCCTTGTCCAAAAATCCATCTTGCTGCCAACATCCCAATGGCGTGCTGGAGTGATTAGTACATTGTGAACAACATCTTTGTGAAGCTGAATCAGGCTGCTCTCGTGGGAGAGAATCAAGCCCCATCAACTTTGCAACCACATTGGGTGGATTCTTCTTAGACTCCACTTCTTTTGACATTTCTTGGTCTAAAAGCATCTTTATGGGTGTTCCACA